CCGACATGTTTTTATGAAAGTTATAAAAAAATATCATCATATCTATTAACACTTTCAACTATACACTGCATTTTTAGTTAAAAGACAATCCATACCTTAATTATATGAACACATGAGGTCAAGTATGGTGAACCACAATCCTAACAGAGCCCCAACTTAATATAACTGTCAGAACTAGATGCCAGTCCTAAAGGGATCTAGTTCTAATGGTTAGTTTAAGTTGGGATCCATCTGACCTGGAACCGCCCAGTATAAATGCTCCTCGGCAGCTAATACACTATAGGAGTACAGATACTGTGTGCCACATTCAACTTTACAGGCCAAGCATATTTCCACCTGACAGTGAGAATAAAAGTTGCAGTGTGGGTAAGTGATATGTTTGTTTCAGTGCCACTGGGATTAAACTACAGCAGTGTCCTAAGTATTTATCATAGTTTTTTAACCAGTAGTATGCGGTGTGGGAAATTTCAGGAAGTTGAAACATCTTACTATTCCAGCCAAAAAATCATAAGATGAAAAGCAGCAATTACTGAACTGATAACATATAGTTCATTACTCATATGCAGACCTGCACCTCAACTGGAGTTTTATTTCGGTGATTATGTACCCTAACCTGTACCCATTTACTCATGTAGCTTTTACCTTTGTGGATCAATACAGCTTGGAGGGCAGGGGGGATAAAAGATTAAGTGGTGATAATGTATAAGTTTTGATTTACAGTTTTAAAAGGAAACATGAACAATTCAAATATTTAACACGTGTTGCAGCCCAAACCAGGAAATTAGGTGGTACAGCTCCCCATAGCAAAAAAAAAACAAAGGAAAAAATTTTTTTTTTATAGAACATGTAAAGGATTGAGAAAATTACGGTTGTGGTTATTTACTATGAGTAGTACAGTACAGTAGAGGGATTATCCTTCAGTTATTTAAAAGTTACAAGGGTCAAGTAATTAGGTTTTCAAAAGTATTGATATTATTCCAAGAATAATTGTGACAAGTCATTATCACCATCATTTTACAGCCATTTTCCACTCTTGCATAAGTTAGCTACAGTAACCTAATGGCAGTTATCCATACTGAAGGTAGTAACTACAGTAAAACTACACCTTTTTAACCCTAAATCATTACAGAGGGGAGCAAACACCCAAGCCACTTGACCTCATCATAACAAACAAGGAGGGTATGGTAGCCAAACTGGAACACCTTGCCCCAGTTGGCACCAGTCACCATACAGTGTTGTCATTCAGATTTAACTGTTACCTAGTTCAAGATAAGGCCAGGCCAAGGTGCAAATATTACAAGGGAAATTACAATGGGATGAGGGAAGAGATGAGGGGTATCAACTGGCCTGACTTATTAAGGTACAAGAACGCAGACACTACGCTGAATATCATAACTAGTAAAATGACCCATTTGATCGATAAATATATACCCAAGACCAAACCCAGTGCTTCTAGGAATACGAGGGGATCCCTACACATGAACCATGCGGCGGTCGACAAAATTAAGAAGAAAACCCAGAAATTCAAGACGTGGGTTGGGTCAAACGATGAGCAAGACAGGAGGATGTATGCAAGAGCCAGAAACCAAGCAAAGATAGAGTGTAGGAGGGCTGAAAAGGAGTTCCAAAGGCTGGTTGCACGCGAGGTCAAGTCAAACCCAAAGGCGTTTTACCGCTATGCAAAGTCGAAATTGAAAACGCGAGTAGGAGTATCAGACCTGAGGCTTGAAGATGGTAGTTACGCAGATTCTGACCAGGATAAAGCTGAGGCATTGAACAGCTTCTTTTCCTCAGTGTTCACAAGAGAGGATGCAACTAACCTTCCTGCGTTTGAGGACAGACGGTTCGACACAGCACTGACCCACATTGTGTTCACAGAAGAGGGTATTAGAAATAAACTGTCCAGGCTAAAGGTCCATAAGAGTCCTGGACCTGACATGGTGCATCCTAGAGTGCTAAGGGAGCTGTGCAACGAGCTTGCAGAGCCCCTGAAGATTCTGTTTTGTAAATGCCTGGATGAACAAATGGTCCCCAGTGAATGGAAAGTGGCTTATGTGAGTCCTATCTTCAAGAAGGGCGATAGTCACTCCACGAACAACTATAGACCGGTGAGCCTGACCAGCATAATATGTAAAGTACTTGAGAGTATTATCAGAGATGCAGCGATGGAACATCTACTACGAAACAACCTTGTAAAAGATTGCCAACACGGTTTTATGCCGGGGCGCTCTTGCTTGACACAATTGCTCAAGGTATTGGATATTTGGACCCATATTCTAGAACGGGGTGGTAATATCGACAATATTTACCTAGATTTTGCCAAGGCTTTCGACAGTGTACCCCACGAAAGGCTGAAAATCAAACTGGAAGGGTACGGAATTCGGGGAAATGTCCTAGCGTGGATAGAAGACTTTCTACATGACCGCAAGCAATGTGTGGTGATTAATGGCACGAAATCGTCATCTGTACCTGTAACAAGTGGGGTACCGCAGGGTAGTGTATTGGGCCCGCTGTTGTTTGTTTGTTTCATAAATGATATGCCTGACGTTGTACACTCCTCCATACAAATGTTTGCCGATGATGGCAAGTTATTTGTTCCGCAGAAGGACCTCTGTGGGCTCCAGGAATGGTCGAAGGAATGGCTGCTGAGATTCAATGTCACGAAGTGTAAGAGGATGCACCTGGGGCGTACCAACGGTAAGGAGGCGTATCATATGTCCCAACAGGATGAAGAAAATGTACTAGTTGAGACTGTGTGTGAGAAGGACCTAGGTGTGTATGTTGACAATGAGCTGAAGTTCTCGGGCCATTGTGAGAAGAAGGTAAATCAGGCAAATAAATTATTGGGTCTTATAAGAAGGTCGTTCAGATATCTAGACGGTCCGTCCCTCGTGACGATCTTCAGGAGTGAAGTGCTTCCCCATCTGGAGTACTGTCACCCCATCTGGTCCCCGAGATATGCTAGGGACTGTCAGTTGGTTGAAAATGTTCAAAGGAGGGCCACCAAACTGGTGCCTGCACTTCGGCACCTCAGCTACCCTGAGAGATTGGAGCGCCTGAACTTGCCTAGCTTATACTACAGACGGGCAAGGGGGGACCTAGTTGAGGTTTATAAGCATCTCAGGGGGCACTACTCAGTTGAGTGTCCTTACTTGGAGCTGGCGGACGCTCGCCCCACAAGGGGTCACAGCTCAAGATTGAAGAAGCCGCAAGTCCAGAAAACCGTGAGGGCAAACTTTTTCGGAGTGAGGGTTGTAAACTCTTGGAACAATCTACCAGAGTGTTGTGACGGCACCGAGTGTGAGCTCTTTCAAGAGAAGACTTGACCAACACTGGAGCGGGTTCAGGTACATTCAGGAGCCGGTGCATGCCCAGTATTTGCCAACAGTGCGTGACAGAGACGTGACCGATCGCCCGGGCGGCTAGCGAGCCGATCTTTTGGTGAAGAATATAAATGAAAAGAGACGTGACCGATCGCCCAAGCGGCTAACAAGCCGATCAGTGGCGAAGAGGATAAAAGTCAAAGGACAAAGTGACAAGCCCTCGCATGTAAAGCTTACTTCCGGCAGTCGTGTAAAGCATGATAAGGAATGTTCTCAGGAATTTGTAAAATCTAATGAATTTTAAGGAAAATCAGCTTTGTGATATCTAATATGTTTGTATGTGATGAAGATGACTTTGTCTTGTGAAGTGTCTATGATAACAGTACTAGTTAAGTCTCCCACACTGAAATGAAAGAATTATAGGTGCGATCAACGGGGTTTAAGGGACCACTCATCAGCTGAGGGAGCTTCATAATTTGTTTTGAATGTGGTGGAGAAAATGAGCTGTTGCTGTCCGTAACACCCCATCTGTCACCCCGTGTGGTGATATGCTAGGGACTGTCAGTTGGTTGAAAATGGTCAAAGCAGGGCCACCACATTGGTGCCTGCACTTCGGCTACCCCGAGAGATTGGAGCGCCCGAACTCGGTCGAGTGTCCTTACTTGGAGCTGGCGGACGCTCGCCCCACAAGGAGTCACAGCTCAAGGTCGAAGAAGCCTCAAGTCCTGAAAACTGTGAGGGCAAACTTTTTCGGAGTGAGAGTTGTGAATTCTTGGAACAATCTACCAGAAAATGTTGTGACGGCACCGAGTGTGAGCTCTTTCAAGACCAGACTTGACCAACATTGGAGCGGGTTCAGGTACATTCAGGAGCCGGTGCATGCCCAGTACTTGCCAACAATGTGTAACAGAGACGTGACCGATCGCCCAAGCGGCTAACAAGCCGATCAGTGGTGAAGAGGATAAAAGAAAAAAGAAAAAAAGTACAAGAGGCTGTAGGATAGCACAGACACCAACAAAAATTTTAGTACAGTACAGCCATTCTTTCTCTACCACTAATAAATATACAGTCGACCCTCTTTAAAACGGACCCCTTTAATCCGGATATCAGATAAATCGGACAAAATCTGAATTATGCGAGGGACTGTCAGTGTCAAATTTCTGGTTCTGGGATTGTCCGATAGATGGCGCGTGCACGCCAGACCGCCAGTCATTGTTGACTTCGCGCCATATTCGAGTATCAGTGTTGTGTTGCCCTGCAATTTTCGTTGATATTTCAGTGATTAGGCATCTTTCAGCCTTGTATTTTACATCATGTCTTCAAGGGGGAGTAATACGCTGGTTCTGTGAACCAGAAACTGGAACTTATAAGGAAGTTAGAGGCTGGTGCTTCGGTGGCTAGAGTTTGTGAAGAGTTTGGTGTTAAAAAGCAAACAGTTTCGGACATACACAAGGCTAAGGACAAACTCACTGCATTTTCTTTGAAATATAATGCAATATTAACCCCTAAATCGGTTAATTCGGACAATCGGCTAAAACGGACACCCTTCCCCCCCCTATTAGTCCGTTTTAACGAGGGTAGACTATATCTTCATTAAAAAACATGGTGGCTTTTGTTCCAGTAAGGCCATCATGGTCACTGCACTAGAGGGAGGCGAGGAGTATTTATGCAAGGAGATTAATATCTAGGGATTTTTTATTTTCAGTGTACGTATGATTTATTACAAATTAAAGTGGTATGGATCTTGTTGCAGGTGGTGTATGTAGAAAGGAGCTTATTTACACTAAAGCACGAGTCTTTCTCTCAGAAACTGATGCAGCTTTAATGTAATGTGTACAGTCGCCCCAAGTCTTGTCGCCTCTCGTCCTGAACCTCGAACCCCGAGATTCAGACTCGCGAATCCGAAGTATTTATGGACAAAATAATGGATCGGTGACTACTGCTTTGGGTTCATGAGTCTGAATCTCGGGGTTCATGGTTCAGGAAAGGCAACAGAATTTTTGTGGGAGATTTTACCATTTCCTAGCAGCCTATTCTGGTAGTATGTGGAAAAGCATTATTACAATGAAAACATTAATAATTTTACACTAGATAAAATGGGGGAAAATTCAAATATATATATATTTTTTAAAAATTACTTTGACATACGAGTAATAAATATTCCAGTCCCTTCAGTATATATATTCTGTCACTTAGTTTTGTAGCAATGAGTGTGAGTGCTGTACAGGGTGTCCTTACTTACAGTCACTTGTTTAGTTTCATGAATCCTTGTTTGGCATTATAATAATGTTAAAAAGGCCATAAGATACCAAAGAAAACAATTTATTCTAATTTAATGGGGTGTTGAAGTATGCATTATATTGTGACTCTTAAGTGTTTTCACAGCAGCCCACCTAACACATGCCTGAACATTGCTTAAGTTTCAAGCCTTTTTTATTACATTTATAATTTTAAAACCATATTTAAATATTTACCATAATGATTAGAGAGGAAACCCTGCACAGATGATATTGTTTAGTGTCTTGCCCAGTCATATACTCAACAACCAAATATGTAATTAAAAATATTGTTCGGACATTATATAATATTTTGAAATAAAAATATATAATGTAACTTTTCTATAAATTATATTGTTCCCTATAGCACTACAGTTTTGTTAAACTATATTAAAACAAATTAAACAGCTCTTTAGCCCAATCATACCATGGACAGAAGGCTTGTTAAGGGTAAAACTTCTCATCTATCTCTACTGAATATAATGTGTCCTGAATTCAAAAGGGCATGGCAGAAAATAAATCCCTATAGTTGTAAACATTGTAGTACAGTATAGGTTTAAGGTGAAACTGATAGTCATCTACAAATGAGCACACAACCATAATTTCCCCTCTGGTACAAGGGTAATGTAAAACAAATACATATTACAAAAATCGAAGAAGCAAATCAAAACAAAAGGCCAGTCTGTTTATTGTGACCTTTGAATGACCTACTACTGTGCCCACACCACATGCAGCATTTTCCCAAAAACATCTCAAAATTCCTAATTCATCATTTACATACATTATATACTGTACAGCGCATTAATGATGAATTCAAATGGGTGTTTATCATGATATTATTAATTTTCTTTTTATTTATATTTCTGGTATGGATTTTGTAAAGTAATTTAAGCCTATCAAATTTAACACATACTGTACAGTATTGTACTTAACAAAATGCCTTAATATATACTGTGATTAAAATGCATATTACCTTTAATATAAAATCAAGGTACAATATAGCTGGGACCACAGCTAATATGTTCACCATTAATAGTATGACGTACAGTCACGGAAAAAAGTGCTGTCAGTCGTCCGTTCCATCCATGAACCATGAGACTCCAGAACCTGTGAATCTAAGACAACACACATTGTTAGGCTCATAGATGGTGCACCGGGTCATGTAATGTCTCAGATTCATAGGCTCATGAGTCTCAGGTTTCATGGATGGGACAGAGGATTGACAGGACATTTTTCCATGATTGTACCTTCTATGAATATTCTTACATCTTGATATAAAAAATGAGTATTAGCTGCAAAAATAAATAAAATTTAATAAAAAAAAAACTGTTGAGTTCTAGTAATGACAACACCATGAGATCACCAACTTCTTCTGCCTGTAACTAAACTGCAGTAAGACTAAATCACAATACAACCACACAAGGTAGCTGGTTCTGTGTACAGTATGTATCTGTGCCTGGGATAAGATTTCAGTGCATCTTCACAAATTACACATATCAGTTGTTATTATTATTATTACACTTCAGGTTGCCTAAGTAATTAATTATAAAATATACCAATTTCAAACAGTGAACTATATTTGTTTCTTTACACAACAACATGGATTCTGCTGGACACAATCCCTGCACTGCATTATGTTCATGGTAAAAGACATTGAACACTTTCTCTGTAAGCCATCAAGATAGAAAGATCAACATCTACAGTCAATGAAACTTTGCAGTTCAGATTTGTGAAACTGATTGTTTTAAGCATTTTTTATTGTTGCTTCAATAAGCAATTTTGTGCCTTCTAACCACTCATGAAGGCAAGTAAGCAATCAAATTTCAAACAATGACACAATTCTTTTTGTTCTTCTTTGCAGCAGGTTTTGCAGGAGGTCGCTCTGCCGCTTGGAACTTGCGTACTATTCTCACCAGTTCGTAAAATGATTGGTCCACGTTGGTGCGACTTTTAGCTGAACACTCAATGTATGGGATCTTTAGTTGTCGGGCCACTGTGTGCGCTTCTTCGGTGCTTATCTGTAGTGAGAGATAGTTCAAGAGGTCAGAAAACATTATACTGTAGTCTTCTGATACATATTTATCATCTCATTCTTCAGGTGCAGTACAGTATACTGCAATGCATTTTCATGCATTACAAAACATCCTGAAGATATAAGACAAATTCACTTTCTACAACACTGGCAGATCATACATGGTATAAAATTGTTCAGGAGATTTATACAAAGTTATGAAATACAGCAAAAATATACAGCTTGTATAGTATAAAGGAGCAACAGTACATAACCTGTCTTAACAAATTTATGATTAAATTTTCAAGCTAAATTACAATCAATGTTTAAGACACCTCAGTTGCAAAAAAAAAAATTGTCAGACAGTCCAAAGCAGCACAACTTATTCATATGATATAGCTAATCGAGAAAAAGAAGCTACATTTAGGTTTTATATACTGTAATGTTTAAGAAGTGCACAAACTGGGGTTCCTTGTACTGTACTGTACTACACAGAGTACTGTACAACCCATCACCTACCACTCTCTGGTGTTCCAAATCTGCTTTGTTGGCCACCATCAGCATGGGAAACTCATCACGATCCTTCACCCTGAGGATCTGCTTGTGAAAGCGGGGGAGTTCATCAAAGCTATTACGGTCAGTGACAGAAAACACCAACAAAAATCCCTCGCCGGATCGCATATACTGCTCCCTCATGGCACTGAATTCCTCTTGACCAGCAGTGTCCAGAACTGTTAGAAGAAAAATGATTGTCAGTGAATTCTGTCTACCAATAGTCTGTCAGTGTCATGGGAACTCTATGAAGAAGCTTAATCAAAGTTTCTTTTTACACTCAACTTGAGAAATCAGATTGCACTGAGTATGATGTTTTGAGAAGTCTAAACACCATTAGACCAGCTCATCAAATATTTACAAAAACATGCCAGGTTTTACACTGAGTAAGAAAAGTTGTACACATAGGAGATCATGAAACCCACGCCAGAATAAACACTCCAAGTTAATCAGTTTAAAATGAGGATGGATGCATCAACGTGTCTTATGCAATAAATACAGTAGAGTAAAATATGCAACAGCCTGGGGTCACATTCTCAAAGATTCTAACAGGAACTCACATCCAAGACACGACTCACAAAACTAACGACAGATGGAATATATAATGCTGCCCAAAATTGCACATTGACTACCATAACTTAATGAGTTCTTGTCTCCACATGGTTGGGGGGATGGGGGAGGTGGGATCTAAGAATTTGGCCACTGACACACACACACACACACACACACACACACACACACACACACACATACACAGTTTTATCCCATGACTGTACTCAAAAATACATAAAACTAAAGTAAATTGACCTGAACTATCAAATAAAAGTAAGAGTGAATAAAAAAAAAGGTGGTAATATAGTAGCCAAAATACACACCGGTAAAAATTAATGAACACCAACTTACATACCACACCAATTAAAAACACACACACACACGACCCTCCACCACCCACCCACACAAACAAACAAACATATACCTGGTCTATCAACTACACATTCTGGTCAACCTGAAAACTTCCACACCTGACTCAAACTTGTGAAGAAATCAACAACAAAGTCAACTGGGCCCCATTACAACATATCAACCACCCACACCTATGCTAGATTAGGTTGGGGGTTGAACTACAAAAAAAGACGATGAAATTTTAAACTATGGACACCAATATCTACTACGTACAAGGTGGTCTCCCTGTTAACCCTCCAAAACACACCTCTCTTACCTATATTGTACCTCCAATTAACCATTTTATTATATCAATCATTTGTCAGATGGAGTTGACACACACACACACACACACACACACCTAAACACAACCAGGACATATAATGACAACACTCATCAAGGCTCTCTATCTTTTATTGGTGTGTGTGTGTGTGTGTGTGTGTGTGTGTGTGTGTGTGTGTGTGTGTGTGTGTGTAGCGTCTCCGTATGCAAGAGCCCTCACATACACCCCTGGGAATAATCTCTGGATCTTACAAACATTAGTAGCCATCCCAACTTAGTTCACCAGCTTAATAAACGCCCTATAGCTAACTTAAGCTAGGTTAGGCTTGACTAGGATAGGTTAGGTCCTCTTTTTTTCTGAGATGTTCCTATTTTTTTCTACAAGGTTTGAAGGCACTGAGCTAGTAGTGTACATATATCATCCTGGGGAATATAAGCTAGAGGAAGACAGGAGACTGAATAGCTAGTAAGTGGGGGTGGGGGTGTGGGCTGAGAGTGAACAAGGCGTGGGTGATGTGTGGGTGTGAGGACGGTGTGAAGACAGTGTGTGGGAGGAGTTGGGGGTGGTGGGAGGGGTGTCTGTGTAGGATAAGGGGGGAAGGGGGTTTACAGTAAGGTGTGGTCAGGTAGTGTGGTCCAGGTGGGGTGGAGGGAGGGGGGGGGAGGCTTTGGGATATAAGAGAGACATCTGGTACGGGAGTGACGACGGTGGTGTGGTATACATCTTGGCAGACCACCACCACACCTTTACCTCAATTACCCCACTACTCCACCACCCACCCACACCACCACCACCCACACACACACCTGCCACACACACCCAACATCAACACACATCACACAAAAATAGTCCCGACATATATAACTTCCCAAGGCGAGTGTGAGGGTGTCAGACGCACCCTGTGTGTGTGTGTGTGTGAAAAGGCACCCAAACTGACTGACCTCTCTTAAGCAACGACACAAGGACAGTGCCTGAATAACTGCGCGCGCGCGCGCACACACACACACTGTTCAGACTACAGATCTACATAAACAAATCTTAGTTTACACAGCCTCCACACACACACACACACACATCTCAAATAGACAGAGACAGCGAAACGGCAACATCAAGTGACTTAACCCCTTGAGTACAATACTTGGCCTGAACCCTTGAGTACAATACTTGGCCTGAACCCTTGAGTACAATACTTGGCCTGAACCCTTGAGTACAATACTTGACTTTAACCCCTTGAGTACAACACTTGGCCTTAACCCCTTCAGTACAACAACTTACAACCTAGGGGACAATATTCAAGTATGATGACAGTACTCGTGGGAGGGAGGAGGCATGGTACTCAATGAGGTTAGGTTAAGTTTAGAGTATTTAATCATCGAGTGAAATAAGGTGGGGTGCCTAATCTTCACGTGATCCCTCCACTCCTTTGATCAAGAGGAGAGTTAATAAAGAGTACTGTCAACAAGGCTCTGTACTTTAAGCCAGCCACAACAGTGTGTGCAGGAAGAGGGGTAACCTTTAGCATTGGGTGTGGAGGGGAGGAGGGGGGGAGAAGGGGTAACCTTTAGCATTGGGTGAGGGAGGGGGAGGGAGGGAGAAGGGGGAGAGGAGAGAGGGGGGGGGAGGGAGAAGCAGCTGACATACATAAACAACGTTATATCGCCCACTTCTTCCCACGCCACCTCCTCCCTGCACACATACCCTTTTCCTACCCCCCCCCCCTCCTCTTCCCCACTGACCATCCTCACACCTCCCTAGATGCCAACAAGCCTCAACCCCCTCTGCCCACCATCCCTGCAAAGGAAACTTGTTGTCTCAATGCCAAAAAAAAAAAAAAATGCGGCGGTTCTTGGCAGCACCTGTCCCTGTTTTCCCTGAGCTGTGGTGCATGGTGAGTGTGGTGGTGGTGTGATAGTGGTGGTGGTGGTAGTAGTGGTGGTGGTGGTGATAGTGGTGGTGGTGGTGACAGTGGTGGTAGTAGTGGTGGTGGTGGCACAGCAGCAGCCCGAGTCAGGTTCATCGTGCTTGTAAGGTCCATTTGCTGATATCTTGCGCGCCTCTCTAAGATAGCTGCCACTACCCCCCCCACCACTACCACCCCTCCTCACACCACCCCTCACTCACCCTACCAAACACCTAGAGTCCCACCTCCTCCTCCTCCTCCCACTTTCTTCCCCACGTCACACACCACACCAGCCTCCAAGCCTCACTAGGTTTTATTACATCACCACACATCTTCCCCCTCCGTTAATAAACAGTGTTGCTGCCCACACCCGGCCGAGAGAAGTGTCAACATGTCTACTTAACGCTGGTCATTAATGGCTTATCACTGATCATTATCCTGTGATTACTTCTACACTCTTACTACTACGACTTTTTTTTCTTCCAAAATGGCCTTCATCCTCCCCCAATAGCCACACCTTCGCCACCATTTTATTACCTTAATATTAAATATACTAATACATAAGTAGCTATCCTAGCTGTGTTGAGTTAGTTGAGCCGCAGATCTATGCGGCATTCAGTGACTGTAGCCTCACAGTCAATATCTGCAATATCTACTACGATAACAGGAATTCACATAGCCACAAGCGCCTAACACATACAATAAACAAAACATTTAAAGCAACACTCCCAATACCTTCTCCTCACATTGACAACACAATATATATATATATATATATATATATATATATATATATATATATATATATATATATATATATATGATGGCACTGCACGTAGGTTAGGTTAGTTAGGTTAGCTTAGGTTTTGTCCGTGCCTTTTTAACTGACTTTTTTCCTGGATTCCTCCTCACACCTGTAGTACACCATCACCACTGTACACACCTGTAGTACACCATCACCACTGTACACACCTGTAGTACACCATCACCACTGTACACACCTGTAGTACACCATCACCACTGTACACACCTGTAGTACACCATCACCACTGTACACACCTGTAGTACACCATCACCACTGTACACACCTGTAGTACACCATCACCACTGTACACACCTGTAGTACACCATCACCACTGTACACACCTGTAGTACACCATCACCACTGTACACACCTGTAGTACGCCATCACCACTGTACACACCTGTAGTACACTGATAAAACAGAATATACTTAGACAATGTAATTTACTTCGAAATTATTACGTCATGTACTGTACACGATAACTGTAATGTTAAAAAAATGATCTAATGTACTGAGAAAATGTCAAGAACTATATACGGAGAAATTGTACAGTACAGCTCTGAGAAAATACACAAATACAGACGTACACACATGACGTAATGCACTGTGAGGGCGATTATGTATACTGTACTAAATATAGCATCCCTTTTACCCCCCTCCCTCACACACACATTACCCCCCCCCCTCAAACACAGTTTTGTTGGTCTATCAGTGCTCGATACGACTCACTGTTTACCACTGTGTCTATACCTTACCTTACTGAACCTAACCTAACCCAACCCAACCAAAGATTAACTCCTTCACTATATGGGGCGTTACTTTCAATATTTTATTCCACACTAGAGAGTCAGTTTAATATTTATGTATGGAAAGCCAGATAACTTACCACAATCCTCCGTGACAAACTACCACAATCATGCATGACAAACTACCACAATTCTTCATGACAAACTACCACAATCGTGCATGACAAACCACCTCAATTCTCACTCACACGCCGCCACAGCCTTTAACGAGAGTATTAAAAAGACGATGGATGACAAACTCTGGGGGGCGTCTGTCAGGTCGTCACAACCACCGCTACTAATAAACTTAGTCATCCATCACCCACGTCAACCGCCCAGTCATCCACCTACCCCCAACTACCAAACTACGGTGACTCTTGCGACATATACGATCACCTGAAGATTAGCCCACCCAGCTTATTTCACCTGATGATTAAACACCTTCACGCTACCTGGGGTTAGGTT